GACACCTTCGGCTCCCTGTAATTCACACTGCCGCTGGGGAGGAAGGACGACACCTTCGGCTCCCTGTAACTTGCACTGCCACTGGGGAGAGAGACCGGTTGTCTCTTCTCCCTTGTCAACACACTGCCGCTGGGGAGTCAGACCGACTGTCTCGACTCCCAGTGATGATGGTTGCTGCAGGGACGAGGGACCGACAATCTCCTCTCCCTGGGATGCTGTCTGCCGCTGGGGAGAGAGACCCGTTGTCTCTTCTCCCTTGACAACACACTGCCGCTGGGGAGTCAGAGCGACTGTCTCAACTCCCAGTGATGATGGTTGCTGCAGGGACGAGGGACCGACAATCTCATCGCCCTGGGATGCTGTCTGCCGCTGTGGAGAGAGATCAATTGGCCACAGCCCCAATCTCCGCAATCGGAGCTCAAATTCCCATGCCGCTCGATTCTCCTTATCCAACTTGCGCATGGTTGCCAGAATCGCCTCTGTCGAAAGATTCGGGCCATATCTGGTTAACCACCTCTTGACCTCCTCCCTGTAAGCGTCGCCCTCAAAGCGATAGGTCATGTTTACTGTGAACAGGGGCGCTGTACGAATATTAGCGTTGCCCTCAAATTGTAATTCCAAATGTTACCGGTGCCTCTGCGCTGCTTCTCCTCGCACTAGGACGCCATCCCACCGCTGCCACCAATGTAACGGAACCGCTGGCACCCCGACCGGGTACCTTCCGCCGACGGATGCTCCTAGTGCTTTCCGAGGACTCCAAGCACTCTGCCTGACACCATAACCACTGCAGACCCCACAAACCGCCGCAGCTTGGTTGGGGTTTCGCCGTCTCCACCCACTCTGGACCCAGGACCAGGGTCCAGCTTCCAGCAGGTCGACCTCTCTCTGAATTCCAGAGAGCAGGAACAGGAACAAGCTCTTAGCAGAGCTTAGTGATTATACCCTGGGGAGTATAGTGATTATAGCAATCCCCAGAGTGTAGTTTCTCCAATCCCCCAAACATGAGCCAAAACTTCATGAAGGTACAAGATGATCTGACTTCAATGAGCGTTTATTACTCCTTATATACAAGTTTTCAGGTCAGAGGCACACCCCCTGGACCTGGTGGTAAACTGTGACAAAAGGGACACAAACCAATGGGAACACTAATTAACATGATAACACTCTCACATACACAATGAAATCCCTCCTCTCCATCCTGGAGATAATTGGCTTAAGGCACTGCAGTAAACTCAATTATCTCCAGGTACAGAAAATATCTACATTTAACACTAACAGCAAAATACGTAAAAGTACATAAAAATGATTTTGGGGGGCGTGGCTTAGCGGCGAATGAGAGCGGTCGCCTGATCTCGGAGCTCTCCCGCCGACGGGTGTCTACAGCGTGACTACACAGCGTACAAGCACCGGCAAGAGTGGCAAACAAGTGGGCATACCTCCACCACATAATGTCCACAAAGACCGCCAAAAAATTCAAACAAAAGACCCTCCAAATGCAGGTGATAGTGTCGCCGAAGTGCGGACAGGAGGAACAAAATGGCGCCGACCAGCCCCAGTCCCCAGCCTCATGCTCAGAAGGAGGTGAGTTTACCCTCACTGCAGATGACATGCAAGCACCAGCCACAAACGCTTCACTGCAGAACATGCTATCTGAATTAAAACACACTTTCAAAACAGACCTGAAACAAATTGCTACAGATATCAGGGCTGACATTCAAGCTTTAGGTGAAAGAACAGCACGTCTGGAAGAGAGAGCAGAGGAAACTATAGAGGCCCATAATAGCCTATCAGAGGCACACAACGACCTAATGCAGAGAGTACAAAGCCTGGAAGCAAAAGTGGCAGATCACGAAGACCGGGACCGCCGCAACAATATTAGAATCCGGGGAATACCGGAGTCAGTCGGCTCCCTAGATCTGACCCAATATGTACAAGAAATATTTACAGCATACGTTCCAGCATTGAAGGAAACTGAGTTGCTGCTTGACCGCACACACCGCCTCCCAAAACCCAAGCACTTACCGACTACAGTACCGAGAGACGTCATAACACGAATACACTATTTCACAACGAAAGATCGAATAATGCAAGCGTCTAGACGCCAAGGTCAGCTCCCAGGTCAATTTTCCCAAATCAAGCTATTCATTGACCTCTCCACTGAGACCATGATAAAAAGGCGCTCGTTTACCCACATCACAGCGGCATTGAGAGCGGCGGATGTACAGTATAAATGGGGCTTCCCGACCAAGTTACTAGTAAAACGCAACGGCGTAGACAACCTGATTCTTGATCCTGAATCCGGCAAAAGACAACTGTTGGAGTGGAACATCCCGATACCAAATGACCCCTTGCTAGCTACGGAGGATAGATCTGCAATCAAACTCCACAATGAATGGAAGAAACAACCACGTCCCAAGACTACACAAAGACAAGTCTAGCGTGATCAGAACTCCCAATCGTGTGCTGACCACACGGTGCTCATACGGGACAGGTCGTATACAAAGACTATATTAGTACATGCTCCTTTCTTGCAAATTACCATGCCGGGCTAGAAGCCTACCTACACCCAGGGAGGGCGTCACTAAGTCCACCCAGAATTGCTATGATAATTTTTGCTGTTAAATCCTTGCAACTGATTTCAATAACCACCCCCAACGTGGCTACCGACTCAGAGCCACAAGAGAATCCGTTAGGTTTGACACTGCACCGTAGAGGCGCAGTGAACGGAACATTGTACATAATTGATTATTGGTTCAGTTATTATATTGTTTTAACCCTTTTTATTTTTATAAGGCAAACCCCACAGACGGTATGTCCCGCATCCTTATCACCATCTGGCACCACCATGTTAGCTATACAATTACCTCCCATTGGGGAACCTAATGTTGGAAGGGCACCCTGTCTATCCCCGAGTAGCCACAGACTACACCACATGTCAGATGGTACTTAAAATATGCTCCCTAAATACTAAAGGGCTGAATTCCCCCCACAAGCGCCGCCTAGCACTGCGCGAAGCAAAATCATTAGGTGCCCACGTAATGCTCTTCCAAGAAACGCACTTCCAATGGGGTAACAGACCGAAGTTTAATTCCCCACAGTATCCCATAGATTTCCACTCATGTTATTCCAAAAAAAAAAGAGGAGTGTCCATCCTTATTGGCAGAGATGTAGCTTTCTCCTTAATACACAAAATAGGAGATAAAAAGGGAAGGTACCTTATATTGCAATGCTCCCTAAATAATAATGTCTATACCTTAATTAATGTATATGGACCTAATGTTAACCAATGTAACTTTGTTGATGTACTGCTTGGTTTGATGTCTGCTCACGCACTTGGGGAAGTGATCATTGGGGGTGACACGAATTTCTTACTAGACAGTAACCTAGACTCATCAGGAGGTCCCCAATTGACCGCACAAACACTAAAGAGCAGGTCCAAACTAGCCACACTAATATGCAACAAACTAACACCGCACAACCTTGTAGACCCGTGGCGAGTTACCCATCCCACAGAGAGGGACTACACATGCCACACAGCAGCGCATAACACTTATTCGAGAATAGATAGGTTTTTGATCCGCACCTCCTCCATCATAAAGGTTGAGCGCACAGACATAGGCCTTATCACATGGTCAGACCATGCCCCTATCACACTACAACTTAGGGAACAATTCCCCAACTCAGGAAGAAGCAGTTGGAGACCCTGCCATAGTTAACCAAATAGAACAAGATCTACAGTTTTATTTTAAAGAAAACAAAACCCCAGACTCACCTCTACCCCAAATATGGATGGCGCACAAAGCTTTCATAAGAGGCTGTTTCATCAAGCACGCCAGCTACGCAAAAAAAAAGCGCGGCTGGCTGCCCAATTGAAACAGAGGACGGCTAACTCCAAAATTGCCTCCATCAAGGGTTCCAAGGGCACCACAATTCTAAACCCACAGGAGATAGTGGACGAATTTGCCCATTATTATGAAAAACTATATAATCTAAAAGATGACCCACAGACAGTCTGCCCCTCTAAAGCAGATATTGACGCTTTCCTGGCAGGAATCGACCTTCCTACCCTATCTCAGATGGAGGCGGAACAGCTTAACAAACCCTTCACGACCGAGGAGATCACCTCAGTGATCTCCACGCTCCCACTACACAAAGCACCGGGACCTGATGGCCTGCCCAATAAATATTACCGCACCTTCCTTAACACCCTAGCGCAATCTCTTGGCGCTCTATTTAACCACTGCATGACAGAAGGGGCATTGCCAGAAGAGGTCACAATGGCACATGTCTCCACACTTCCCAAACCAGGCAAAAATACAGATCAATGTAAAAACTTCAGGCCCATTTCATTGTTAAATAGCGATGCCAAAATCTACGCAAAACTATTCAGCGAAAGATTGGCACCGTTGCTACATAAATTAGTACACAATGACCAGTCCGGATTCGTGAGGGGCCGACAAGGCTCTGATAACTCGAGGAAAGTGCTAAACATAATAGCGGGAATGGAGAGGGAACAAATCGGAGGTCTTTTCCTGGCGCTGGACGCCCAAAAGGCCTTCGACAGACTTAACTGGCAATATAAGACACAAGTGCTGTGCAAGTATCAGTTCCCCGAAGAGGTTATCAGGGGAATCTTGGCTCTGTACGCACGACCCAGTGCTAGGGTCTCCCATGGAGGCTTCCTGTCACGAACTTTTCACATTACGAATGGGACACGCCAGGGTTGTCCACTATCCCCCCTGCTATACATACTCTCCTTGGAACCCTTGGCTTGGAAGATAAGACGACACCAGGCCATAACCGGTATCACACTGGGGGACAAGGACTATTGTCTGGCGATGTTTGCGGACGATATTTTCGTGGCACTTTCAAATCCAGAACAATCGCTGCCCCCTCTGCTAACTCTATTGACAGACTATGGTAGAATATCATACTACCGTCTGAATAAGGAAAAAACACAAGCCCTACCGATAAACCTACCAGGGCCAAATGTAACCACCCTTAAGAACTCCTTTGAACTCGACTGGCGAACAACATCTATAACGTACTTAGGGGTTAAGATCGCCGCTCCTATTAGCAACATAGTAAAGCTCAATTATAAGCCCCTCATACATCTATGCACCACAGAAATACATAAATGGAAGAATGCAAAACTGTCCTGGTTAGGCCGAGTGAATGCATATAAGATGATGCTATTGCCAAGGTTACTGTATATATTCCGCATGCTCACGATAGACATCCAATCCATAAATCGTTACAAGCCATATGCAACTCCTTCATCTGGGGGGGGTAAGAAACCCAGGCTGCCCCTAGGTCTCCTACAACGGACGACCCCAACGGGGGGTATAGGCATGCCCAACATTGGACTCTACTACAAAGCCTCTATTCTAGCAACGAGTATACACCTACACGCCCAACAGGGGGTAACACAGTGGGTGGATATGGAACAAGGCCAACTTAAGCACACCTCACTGCTTAATTACCTATGGACGCCGAGAACACTAAGAGGCCCTAAAGTAACTCTATACCCCACCACAACCGCAACGGTCAGAGTATGGGACGACTTTATGTCCTCCCTTGGCTGGAGGAAACACTTCCACCCTGAAGCTCCCCTCACTGCACTACATGCAGTGAATCCTACGATCCCACTAAACAGATGGTCACGCTTAGGTATATCCCAAATCCAACAACTGTGTACAGACCAAACGATCATGAGTTTCCCAGACATCAGAGACAGGTGGAAAGTCCCGGAGAGGCATATCTTCCCCTACTTACAACTAAAAAACACAATAAACACACATGTCAAGGGCACACCACACACTGTGCCTACTTCTGCGGTAGCAGCGAGACTAATACCCCACAGATGCTGGACAGCCCCGATGAAACCCAAAGCCCTCTCACTTTGCTATAAAGCATGGCTAGACCTAACACCACAAAAACCGATGACATGTAAACAGCACTGGGAGACGGAGAGGGGGACAGTCAAGACAGAGGAAAAGTGGATGCTGGCCCTAAATGGGATCAAAAAGTGGACCAAGTGCTACTCACATATTGAAGCGCATCGCAAACTACTATATAGGTGGTACATGACACCTATCAGACTACACAGAATGTACCCAGACGTTTCCACCAAATGTTGGAGATGCGGTGTGGAAGAGGGAACCCTGCCACACATATGGTGGCAATGTGGGGGGATACAACCTCTCTGGGGAGATGTTCAGACCCTATTGAAAGATCTCGGCATTAGAGACTTCCCCATGAACATAACGACCTGCCTACTCTTGCTGTTCCCCGAAACGACACAACAAAACCACACACAATTGATAGGGATAGTCTTAATGGCCACTAGAAACCTGATAGCTCTAAACTGGAAAACACCTCGCTGCCCAGCCATCCACCGATTGGCAGACAAAATACAACAATTCTATATATATGAGAAAATGTCCACTGACAATGCCAGGGCCACGGAAAGGTTCCAAAACACTTGGAATGTGGGACAGAAACACCAGGGAGGGTGAGAGGGGAGGAGGGGACCCAGAAGAGTCAGGAGCGGCCCAGGGAAACATGGACGGTGACTTATGTGAGCTGACATGGCCAAAGTACGCAGGAAATGCTAGATTCAGACTATTATGATTTGCCTGTATATTTGTTTGTGTATATACCTTTGTTAAGTTTATTTGAATTGTAATATCAACCCAATTGAAGAGAATATTGCAAACCAGCTACGATGAAATGTTCCATAGTACACGGAGGCAGATGATGTTACTGTACAACTTTAGAGTACAAATATATTATCCTGTAACCCGCTGACTACTCGTTGTATACACTATGAAACAACTATGTACTGGATCTTTACTTTTGAAAAACCTTCAATAAAAAAAATATATAAAAAAAAAAAAAAAAGTAGATAAAAATACATAATTCTTATTTTATTACACAGAACCCCCACATTTAACCTATCCCCAGATAGCTCGGATCTGAGCGCCCAATCTAGGTGAACAGCGCTCAGATCCCATGAACAGAGTAGATTTTCCATGGGGTAAAGCATAGCAAGGGCTGTTGAGAAACCAAGGAGGGACAAAAGCAGTCAGTTCCAACTGGTTTGGCAGTGTGCCTGGGACAACGCCCTGCTGGAGAACAATAGACAGGAAACGGGGGAGGGGAAGAAACACACCTTCCCATGGATTCAAATGGGAAGAAACTGTCTTTAGAAGCCAATAAGCCCCAAATAGTCTTTTTAAATGGCAATACACCCCAGGGCCATAGTCATGAGGAAGGAGGCTGGCAATCAGGCTCCTCCAAAAGCCGGGGGGAAAGGGCAGCTTGTCACCTAACAATCAAGGGACAAAAGGCATTTCGTCACACTATACATTTAACATATCCCCAGATAGCTCAGGTCTGAGCGCACATTATTAAGCAAATGGCGCTCAGACCACACAAATACAGTTTAATCACCATGGAGCCAAAGTCTTCACAAAGTCAGTTCTCATACGAATGAGCTCCATGGGATTCCGATCTGGGGTATAGTGCAGTCAGGTACAACTACCGAATACCGGGCCATTCGTGTACTTCCACCAAACAAGAAGGGAGGTCGGCGGCTTCAGCGGTGTTCGTGCCAAACTGTGTCTGTTTTTTGGTTCCATGAGTTTGGCGTCGAACACCGCTGTGCGTTCGCGTGTTTAAAATGGCCGCGACCTCGTGTTTGGTATACGAATGGCGGCCACCCAGTATTCGTCAATTAAGCTGCGGTTAACCCAGTATTCATCAATTAAGCTGCGGGAGGCTAATTGCCGGCACACTCCAGCTCCCAGGTGGTCTAGTCATTCGTGCGGTTGTTCGGTAGATTGAATCTACCGAACACCTGGCAGAAAAGCACAAATAAGTCTTTTCTGCAGGGGAAACAAAGTCTTTTAACATGGGGCCATAATCCAAAGGCAGCAGGCGAGCAACCAGGCTTCTCCAATGCAATGTGGCGAGGTTGCTCTCGTCACATCTCTCCCCTTTTCCCAACAGACTAACAGGGTATCTGACCTCCTGCCGGTCAGTGCCCTTGTTAGTCCAGTAGCCCACCCACAAAACACAATCAGCAGTACAGCCCACCCACAATAAATGGTTACTACACCTGGGTAGAGGAGAAGCTTGTCCATGTCCAGGTGCCTCACCACGGCTGTGCTGGGTACAGGTACGCTGACTTGGTGGGTTGCTGAGTGGGCAGAGACCAGCGGTACTCTGCCCTGGTGCTAGCGCTACTGTGGAGGTAGCCTGGTTGGAGCCTGGTGGTTGGAGGGGGAGACCAACTGTCTCCCCTTTAGATACCCATCTCTGCTGCCAGAGACCGACTGTCTCCCCTTTAGACACACAGCCCTGCTGCTGGAGACCGACTGTCTCCCCTTTAGATACACCGCTGGGCTGCCGGAGGGGGAGACCGACTGTCTCCCCTTTGGTTAAACAGCCCTGTCGCTGGGGGACAGAACCGACCGTCCCTACCCCCTGTGCTGGACATGCATAGACCACAGTCCCATCTGCACAGTTTTGGGGCTTACTGTCTCCCCCTGGTGCGTTAAGCTGCCGCTGGGGAGAGGGGGTAACAAGCTCCACTCCCATACATACTTCCAGCCGCGGGGGAGGGAGACCGACTGTCTCCGCTCCCAATACAGAGTCCTGCTGCTGGGGAAAGGAGACTGGGCTCTCTTTTCCCGGTAGGACACTCTGCTGGGCTCCCAATTCCCTGCTGTATCTCCCGCTGGGGAATGGAGACTGGGCTCCAATTGTAACGGCACCCTCATCATAAAAGGGTTAAACCGTCGTTTAGAAGATCTTCCCCTTTCAGAGATACAGGCACAGCTACTGCAGAACACCAAACTCTTGAACTGCATACAAGGGAATGCTCCAAACTCCCGAACTGCATACAAGGGAATGCTACAAACTCCCGAACTGGAACCATACGAATAGCTGCTAGCAGACAAATAGGAAAAGCACCCAAGCGGCTTACACTCCTAGCAATCAGTCTCTATCAGCATTCAGTAAATCCCCCCCAAAGACAAGGCTCCGTGTTGAGGGTCAAGCAGTGGTCTGTTTAATGAGGGCTACCTGCCCAGTATTTATGCAGATCTCCCACCTGGTGGACACTCCCCTAGGGGACCAAATGGGAGACTGTGACAAAAGACAGACAATCAGCAAAATAGGACACACAGTCACATTATATTCCCACAATGCATCCTGGCTTCCTCCACTCTGCCATGGTGATAATTGAGAAGTAATTCAATTATCTCCCAGGACAAAGGCAAATCGCCATTATGCATGTGGGGATACTAAAATAAGAATTACTGTTAAAATACACTATGTGACACAAGTTATAATAAAACTATACATTTAACATATCCCCAGATAGCTCAGGTCTGAGCACACATTATTAAGCGAATGGCGCTCAGACCACACGAATACAGTTTAATCGCCATAGAGCCAAAGTCTTCACAAAGTCAGTTCTCATACGAATGAGCTCCATGGGATCCCTATCTGGGGTATAGTGCAGTCAGGTACAACTACCGAATACTGGGCCGTTCGTGTACTTCCACCGAACAAGAAGGGAGGTCGGCGGCTTCAGCGGTGTTCGTGCCAAACTGTGTCCGTTTTTAGTTCCATGAGTTAGGCGTCGAACACCGCTGTGCGTTCGCGTGTTTAAAATGGCCGCGACCTCGTGTTCGGTATACGAATGGCGGCCACCCAGTATTCGTCAATTAAGCTGCGGTTAACTGCAGCTTCTGGGAGGCTAATTGCCGGCACACTCCAGCTCCCAGGTGGTCTAGCCATTCGTGCACCGGACAGAAAAGCACGAATAAGTATTTTCTGCAGGGGAAACAAAGTCTTTTAACATGGGGCCATAATCCAAAGGCAGCAGGCGAGCAACCAGGCTTCTCCAATGCAATGTGGCGAGGTTGCTCTCATCACACCCCCATAATGGCATACCATTTGAAAAAGTAGACAACCCAAGGTATTGAACGTGGGGTATGTTTAGTCTTTTTTAGTAGCCACTTAGTCACAAATACTGGCCAAAGTTAGCGTTCATATTTGTTTTTGTGTGAAAAAAGCAAAAAACTAATATTTGGCCAGTGTTTGTGACTAAGTGGCTACTAAAAAAATCACTGGACATACCCCATTTGCAATACCTTGGGTTGTCTACTTTTGCAAATGGTATGCCATCATGGGGGTAATTCTTATTCCTGGGCTACCATATGTTCTCAAAGGCAACATAACCAATCTGGCAAAT